TTTTGCAATCAATTGATTCGCGTTCGTTGTTCACATTGTGTTGATGGCGCAGATCATGATGAATTGGCGCCTATTCCGAGGCAGGGGTCAAATCAAGCCTTTTGGGATGGGTCTGGAATCTTGGGACCTCCCGGGGGCCAAGACCCTCGAGGGACAAAACGAACTCGATGAACTGCCGTGGGACCTTGACCGTCTCCAGGTTTGGCTGCCTCCGTCATGGGCGGGTGTACGAATACATAAGGTAAGGTACAGTACAGTGGTGGTGGTAGTACATGTACGACGGAGGGACGGGAAAAGGGGCGGCGAAACGGTGTCTGAGCCGCAACGACGAAACGTATCAACCGGATTGATTGCCTGGATCAATCCGTGGTCAATCCGTGGTCCCGGCGGATTGTTTGATGTGATCTACGCATTTTGATCACCGGGAGCGTTTCAAACCGTTTGTGTCCAAGGCACGCACGCAGTACGCAGTACGGAGTAGGGAAAGTGTCTGGTCCGGCAACACCGTGCGCCTTACCTTATTTTATGGTTGGCTTTCGGTTCGGGACATAGATATTCACGTACTTTGAACTGTTCCAACCGGGCATTGAGGCCGATGGGTTGGCTGATCGGTTCATTCTTGCGGAGTTGATAAGCCCGGGTGCCTACCTGCTTGTTTGCATATCCCCGTAGACGGCGTGACGGTGTGATGGTGTGACGATGTGACATTGGAACAAGATGAAAAATGGGTTCCGGAATGGCGGAATGGGGTGACCTGCTCGTACCTTATACGACAACGCGGTCCAGGCGACATCAAGAGACTTGATCTCGGGGCCATCATTTACTCTACGTGTAGGGTAGGTAGTTACGAACTTTGTACACTAAGGTACTACCGAGTTCTGAAATCCAAAGGGAAAGCACAACCTGAGCGAAACCTGCATGGCCCCGCCTTTAATAGGTTGCTGGCCTGAGGTTAGTGCGACGGAAGTCTGGATGGTTCGTTCCTTCTCGAGTCCGTAAGGTATGTAATTACCTTCTACGTCATCACGGGCCAAGATCGGCAGTCAGGGGTGGACCCGCTCATTCGTAGACTCGTAAACGCGTCTGGTGTCTGGTGGTGATGTCTAGGGGTTCTCTGGTAGTCACAGGAAGAACCAAGGGAGAAATTGTTACATTCAGTTATCTCTCTATTATTTCTGCGTCCCTTCACTTCCACCCTCACATTCGCATTCGCATTATTCCCCCCCGCTCTCAACTCGTTATTCATACATTCCCTACCTTACGCTTTGTCTGCTTAACAACGTAGCATCATCACATTAATTTCATTCAGTCTCGACTCACCTAGCTTTTCTTCTTCTCCGCCTACTTCTTTTGGTGGTCAGCTCGACCGACCTACCTTACGTATACATACAGATACATCGATTTCCTTCGTCGGGCCCCGCGTCACCAGCTCCCCACTACCCACTACCCACAACCCAGAAGGGGAACAGAGAAAGGGAAGAAAGCTCCAGACGAAACGAGACGAAACAAGACGACAGGGCGCAGAACAGTGGACACACAAGGTCCTATCGACCCATCGACCGGTCGCTCGATGTTCCAAGTCCCGGTGCTGCCATCTCCCGTCTCGTCTCCCGATATCCGCAGCCTTCGACGACGCTTCGACTTCTTCGACTGCCCACTCGCCTTTGCACTCTAAAGCCGCGTCTTACATCTTACTCGTTCTCATTCCCCTAGCTCGCACCTCATCCATGACCTGGATTTCTACCCATTGACTAACTGCTACCCCCCTCCTGCCCGGACCCCCGCCTCCAATTCATCTACTCTCTATCTGTCCATGATCGTCCCTCCCGGCTTCAATCCTTTTTTTTTTCCCTGCTGCCCCCCCGGGGTAACCACTGCTATCTCCCTCCTCCCAAATTTCCTCCCCTAAACTTTGACTCCCCGACTTTTTCGCCAATGTCCGGGAGTTGTCTAATCCCCGTTTGAACGTCTCGGCCTGCACGCACATACAATCCATCTATCCCTACGTTTTATTTTTATATTTTCCTTTCCTTCTTTAATACTTGTATCTACCGTCATCCAGGCTTGGCTTCGACCATCTTGACTGGCATCCTCCATTCTCTCCCGTCGCCAGAACTCTCTTCGTGTTTTCCATACCCGGTTTATGTATTCCTACTGGCTTTTATATTTCCTTCCTCTTTGATCCACGCCAAGCCCCAAACACACACACCCCCCCCCCTTCCACCCCCAACTACGACAGACAGCCAAGCCCGTCTGACAGTCGCCATCTCAAATTACCCGATGCCGTCAGACGCCCTCGCTCCCCCCCTGAAGCCCCCGTCTCCTCGGGTGAGCCCGCGTCTGCTTGGAAACCCCTACTACCGCCGCTCCTTGCGCCCTATCCTCTTCATCACCGTGTCCTGCTTTCTCGTCTACCTCTTCTATAGCGAGGCCCAGTTCCCCCAGCGGACAATACCCGGTGCATCGGACAGCATCTCCGATCGCATCGACTCGTTCTTCCGCGCCAGTCTCCTTCACAACAATACCCTCTACCAGAAGGGCACGGAGGATCGTGTCGCCAAAGATTTCGACTATGCCACCAACCCTTGTCGCGACTTCCCCAATACCGACGGCATTCTTCTCGTCTTGAAGACCGGCGCCACCGAGGTCTTCGACAAGCTGCCCACGCAACTCATCACCAATCTTCAGTGCCTCCCTGACTTCCTCGTCTTCTCCGACCGTGAACAGCAGCTGGGCCGTTGGCACATCCACGACGCCCTCGAAGGCGTCTCCGACGCCGTGAAGGCCCACTTCACCGACTTCGACCTCTACCGCGCCCAAGCCGAGTGCCCCTTGGATCAGAAGACCTGCCTCAAGACTTTCCATGGTCAGGTTGGTCGTGCCGCCTGGGCCCTCGACAAGTACAAGTTCCTCCACATCCTCCAGCGTACTTGGGAGATGCGCCCTAACCAGTCCTGGTACCTCTTTGGCGAGGCCGACACTTACTTCGTCTGGCCCAACTTGGTCCATTGGCTGCGCGACCGGCCCCCCGTCTCTGATCCTCTCGTCGAGCCCGCCTACATCGGCAGCGCCGCCATGCTGGCCGGCATCCCCTTCGCCCACGGCGGTAGTGGCTATCTTCTCAGCGGTGCGCTCGTCCGCGATCTCGTGGGCGCTGATACCGAGTCATCCAGGAACCTGCCTAACGTCTACGACATCAAGGCCCGTGGCCACTGCTGCGGTGACCAGATGCTCGCAAAGGCCATCCTCGAACGCCTGCGAGTGAAGGTTCAGCACGTCCACCCCATGTTCAATGGAGAAAAGCCCGCCACCTTTCCCTATGGTCATACCCATTGGTGCGACCCCGTCCTCTCCATGCACCACATGGAGCCGGAGGATATTAGTGCCCTTTGGCAGTATGAACAGACGCGCCTAGATAACGTAAGTGAGGAGAGCCGTTCTCAATACATGACAACTCCGCTTTCAGGATAAAAACTTGTCTAACATCACTTCTTATGCGCGTCCTCTAGAGCACCATTCTCATGAAGGACCTCTACTATGCTTTCATCGCCAACAAGATGATCAACTATAGAGCCCACTGGGACAACCTCTCCGACGACGTTTGCTACATTGATCCCGACCCAGCCATCTTCAACCACCTCGACGACAAGATGAAACGCCGTCAGAAGAAGCGGTCGGACTTGAACCGTATCGAGAAGGAAGCACATAAATCCGTCGCACATTGTGCCAAAGTCTGCGAATACGAAGGCTTGCCGGTCGATCCTGTAGAAAACGAGGCCGAGAACCCAGATATATGGACGCAACAGCATGGACTCCATGGCGACCAGGATGCGAACTCAGCGCCCCGGAACAATCCGACAGAGGGCGAGGCAGCGGGTGCCAGCGGAAGCCCGAGCTTGGTTAACAGCAATGACCCTGGGGCACAGCAGAAAGGAACACTCGAGCCCAGAGACTCCATCGAGCCACCGAGACCGCGGATTCACCCTCTCGATAGGAAATGTTTCCAGTACCGATACCACAAAGGCGTTTGTTGTACGAGCCGCAGCTTCAAGTTGGGAGTGCCCCGACGGGACGCCAAGGCACACTTGCCGGACAAGCTCGAGGACGTTTGGCAAAGTGGGTGGCATCTCCAAGGAATTAGCGACTGGATTGCCGCGAAGGGAGAGTGTCGCGAGCCCAAATGGAAGGTGCCCGACAAACTATAACATTGGCCACAGTGGGACGAAAACCACCGCCGAGAACAAGCGGGTAATCATTTTGCTTTGTTCTTTTTTTTTCTTCTTCGTTTTTTTTTTTCTCTTTTTTTTTTGGCCTTTGCCCGTTGGTTGGGCGCAAAATTAGGAGGCGTCTGGGGCTTCACCACTGGTTGGACATTACGGGACCGGACTCCAAATAGAGACCGAACGGTCGGCTTGCACTTGATCCACGGCGGATGGGTTGGCGTTCGTTGGTGGCTTTTCATTTCTCCCTCTACATGAGGGTGTATCTTCCATGCTTTGTGTACAGCCTCCGCATACAAAGAGGAGACGGGATAATAGAGCCCGATAGTCAGAGCCGAAGAGGATATCTGGCGGTTCTGCCAGAAGATATACGATCTGGTGTGCCACATTGCATTCCTTCGTCTTGAGCCTCGGATACCCCGTGCCTCGGGTCGAAATTGGGTGCCCTTGGAGACTTGTATCAAGCCGGTGAATCTTGGATTCGTTTGCCCATGAATAACTTTTTCTCATTCAGCGTACAAGCCGAGACATGATCCGGCGTGGTGGCACCCAACCACGGGGAACTGGAAATCTACAACAGGCAAAGGAGGTTCTACACCGTACATAGCTGGCCTGGCTGCTGGTTTGTTGGTTTCAGGTAAGTAATGCCACCTGTGGGTCACCTGTCACGATGAGGAGGGGCGCAGGGGGAGAACACTGTAGAAAAAGCAATGAGCGTCAAAGAAGGCAATTGTTCTGAGGACAAGGTCTAATATAAACCCGGTTTAAATGGTTGCTGATATGCACAAGACATCTATCAAGTTATTGTGTTATGTTGTGTACCTTATAAGGCAAACCCCTCCTCTCCTGAACTCCTCGCTCAATTATAGACCGGAAACTGATTATTCAAATATCAACGGCACATATATATGTGTGTGTGTGTGTTTCGACATCTGAACACTGACGCGAATCCTTCGTAAAGGACGGCCATGTTCAGATCTATGCCTTGGCCTGTTGCTCCTGAGGAGTCAGCGCCCCCGTACCCTTAGGCGAGTGTCTGCCGCAGCGATGAGGCCGCTTCGGGCTCTTGAGATGACAGAACTCCTTCGCGTCCTCGGGCGCAGGCGGACCGTACTTGGCAGTCACGGCGCAGTACTCGTAGGGCTTGCCGGCGGCGGCCACCCATTCTCGGAGGTGCCGGTGAAGTTCGCACCGCGAGATGCCGCACTTGCGACAGTAGACCTGGCCCCTGACACGCAGGCGCTCGCGGGCGGCCTCGTCCTGGGCGCCGGCCGCGGCGGCGGCGGTAGTGCTGGTGCTGGTGGTGCTGGTGCTGGTGCTGGTGCTGGTGCTGGTGCTGGTGCTGGTATGCGTGTGCGCTCCTCCCGCCGCCTTGCCGTGGACGAGGGGTCCGGCGCCGCGCCAGGCCCACTCCAAGTCGTTGGGGCCCTCGCGGCGCGAGGACAGAGGGACAGAACCGTGCATACGGCGGTGGATGGCGTAGAAGTGCTTGTTGGTGAGACCGAGACAGGTGCTGTCGATGGGGTCGAGGAAGTCAAAGACGGCATAATGGATCTCGGAGGGGAGATCGGTGATGACCATGCGAGACGAGGGACGGTGCGTCGGCGAGGGTGGTTCGTAGTCCATGACGGAGTACGAACGCCGGGGAGGGGGCGGCTTAGGCCGAGCCTGTGGCCCGGTTGGGGCTGCAGGCTCTGGTTCGACCGGCTTCTGAAGAGTCGGCTGTCGGACTGCTGCTGGAGGAGCCCGGTCGGGAATAGGGCGGTACGACCGCTCAACGGGTTCATGGTGATGATTATTATTAACCTGTGCCAAGGGGGACGAGGCGGCAGCAGAGATGTTCGAGAGCGGGGTGGGCCCGACGACGGGGCAGTCGGTGGAGGACCAGCCGCGACGGGGCGTCCGCCAGCCAGCGCGCTTCTTGTTCAACTCGTTCATCATGGCGATATGCTCCTCGCGGGTCATCATCTTATTTTCCGGGCGAGAGGCGACGCTGGCACCCAGCAGCACACGGGCTGCCACGGTGGCAGCGGCAACGCGGGACACATCTGTGACGGGGATGTCCCGGTGATTCGAGGCGCTGCCATGGTGTGAGAGGGCGGAGGGCAGAACTTCAACCATGGTGGCGGTGGGCAGACGTGATGGGACGATATGACGCTGTACAGAGAGGTCGAGGCGAATGGCTTCCGTTCGCTTCCGTTCTTTTATTCCCCCCGTTCGTAAATGACTGGCGCGCACCCTGATAGCAAACCAGTTAAGGGGGGAGGGGAGGTCGCGGAGCCTTGATATCGTGTAGGTATGAAAAGGTCGACGTTGTGATCAGGGGATGTCCCGACGACACGCAGAAGCTAGGCCCAACCGAGATCCGAAGCTCGTTCTTCGTGAAATGTCTAGCCGAGTATGTCGAGAAGTGCGTCGCCGGTTTGACGCTACGGTCGCCTTATGTATGTATAGTGATGAAGAATCCTCAATAGCGAGATCATGTAACCAGACAAACCGCGGGGTAGGTTTTTTGGTTCCTGTCGGGATGAAGACACAAGCAAGGAGGGGGCCAGAGAGAACAGTGGACCGGGGTGAAGGATATTTATGCGTTGGAGAACAGCAGAAGACCACGAGCAGCGGGTAATGGACAGCGACAGCGGACAGCGGACCGAGAGCGCAACGGGGATATCGAGTACTGCTGGACAGTAGACAAGTAGGAGGCGAAGAGGAGGGAAGGAAAAATTCGGAAGGTGGAAAAGAAGCATTGGTGGTGGTGTTGGGTGTGGCAGACAAACCAGCGGTGTCTTCCCTTCCTTCTCCCACACTTCGCACACAATACTATGGGGCACAGGCAGGCCCCTGGGCCGGGGCCGACTGGACTCGGGCATCTTCTTTCGACCCACGATAGCTGGGCTAGCCCACCCCGGCTATCGTGGCAGAGAACCGTAGGTGGATCCCATGGTCAAAGGGGAGGGTGAAAAAGGTCTCGGCATGGTCAGGCGTCGGGACTGGGTGAAGTCGACCAGGGGGGTTTGATAAGCTCCTACGTCCACTGCCATATGTATAGTTGGTTAGCCCCAAGTACACTGTAGGCGTGCATTGATATTATTAATCAGCCGCCGGGACAGAAGAGAACGAACGCGTCGCGATCGAGTCGATACCTAATCCATGTCCAGATCACGTCGGATATCTTTTTTTTTTTGGTCTTCAACTCTCGGCTGGCGTCATCGCCGTGCGTGCTCTTCAGAAAGGTGGGGAGAAATGAGAGCGTTACACACGGTAGAGTTGATTTTTCCTATTACTCCATAGGTACTAGGGAATGATGGCGAACAAGACCTTGCCACTTGGTTCGTGGCGTGGGTATAATTGCGGGGTGTTCAGGCCCCTCTCAGAAGGACGGGGGAAGATCCATCTCAGGAGACGGGCAGGTCAGGTCTAAAAGCCTGAAAGGACGGACAAGGAACGAGGTACGAATAATTAGCGTAGGGTGTACCGGTTTCCGTACAAGGCGTAGAAGGCGTTAAAAAAGTTGGAGGCACTAAGGAGAATGGGGTTAATGCAGATCAATGGGGAACTCCGAACATGAGGCTAGTTATTCTTAGTGGTCGCCGGTTTGTCTTCTGAGTTCCAGCACGGATACACTCATGGAAATAGTGAATCACACGTAGGTACGCTTCGGGTAGATTCCACCCACACAGAACTGAGACTTTGATGGTGCTATGCATGGCTAACACGTGTGGTTCGTGGTTCGTGCTTCGTGCTTCGTACCGAGTTGGGTTGAGAAGATGGTGATGAAGGACGGTCTAGTATGGAGTATGTCGTACGTTGTAGGTTGCAGAAGATGGAAGAAGGCGTTTCTTTTTATTGTCCCGGAGCTAAGGCCCGGACTACACGTGTACGGACTAGAAGCACCATTGCACCGTTACACGAACCAGCCACAAAACACAGGCATGTGGGTGATTACCTTGGGTTCCTCCTTCCTCAACCCGAAGGACTATGAGGTACCTTAGTCTAAGGTATCCCTCTCTAGGTTGTCTTCCTAAGGCGAGGAAGTACGAAGGACGAAGTAATCAGTTGGTAGGTACCTAGGTAGATACCTACCTAGGTACCGAGGCAAGGTAGGTCATCTAAGGTAGCAAGTGATACTCAGTAGGTACCGAGGATGTCGGTATTTTTTAACCTCGATACTCGAGACCAGGTAGACCACCTTTCCAGCTTGAAGACGTTACAGCATACGGCATACGGGCCTTCCGTATATCGAGAGGTTTTGCCCAATGGATCCCCGGGACGTCGTAGGAGGTACGAGGTATGAGGCAATAGCAAAGTCAGGTACGTACAGTGCCTCCCTTACGAAGTAGCACTTTGGCACTTCGAGTCAAGACCCTGATCAGCAATTTCCACTCCGGATCGAGTACGGCGGACGGAGTACAGCCCCACCCCCGGATGTCCGATCCTCAACTGTTACGAAATCCGATAACACCGTTAATCCTCCCGACCGAACCACCTGTCTCGATCCCGCCCCGGCGCGGTTTCGACTCGCTGCGTCGATCCTGGATAAGCCGGTAAATCAGGTCTCGGCCTGTTGCCAGCCTGTTGCCAGCCTGTTGCCAGCCTGTGATCCTGCAACACAGCCCTTAGGAACCCCTTGTAACGTAAAGCAACAAACACATAAGGCTTCTGGGCTCTTCGAGTCTTTCCCCCTCGTTCTCTCAACCATCTCCCCCCCTTCTTTTCTCTTCATCTTCTCCTCCTCCGTATCTTTCTCGATATATGGAGAACCTGATGATCCTGTGACGCCAACCAGCTCCACCTCTGACCACATAATTCTCCTTCGATTCTACACTGTACATGTACCTACCGTTCTTCCCTCTCGCCTTGTCAATCGTTGACAGTACGTGTAGTGTAAATGTGCCCTCAAGTCAGAAGTACGAGATATTGAATTCTCCACCATGACATCACTATTGTCGCCGTCGAGGGGGTTCCGGATCTCCTGCTGCCAAGCCGGATTTCCCTTTGTGGTCGCAATGCCACGGCCGGGTACATACGCGAAGAATTGTAACCCAACGATGTTGGACCCTACCTGCCGTAATTGTGGATGTCAAGACACGTAAATCGGGGACAAGGGGGAAACATCAACGAATGTAATTGGCACGGTTAAGTTGTCATACACGCCCCAGTTTGGTCTTCTCCAGGGCGGATCGACTTTCCTTTCACAGCCCTCGTCCCGTGGGGTGTCCTTTGTTCCCTCGATAGGGTACAGAATGTGAAGATGGAAAAACTCGGCGCATTCCATTATTACTAAGGACGACCACAAACTCCAAGCTGTGAACGACGATCAAGCAAACCTCGTGAAGATGAAAAAAAAGTCTGCCCGACGCAGACACGGACCCGGCTGAACTCAGGCCGACTGGAACCCTTTTCATCCAGAACAGCCGTTCCGACTCTGCCTTGAGAGGCCAGTTTTTCACAACCATAGCTTCCACCTCAATAGCATGGGACACATGGCCACGTCCTGAGAGGAAGAGTGTACGCATGCGTGGAGTTGACAAAGCAATACAGGCCGCAATATACTCCTCCGACAACGAGTGGCGCGGCATGAATCAAAGTGGGGAAGCGATGGGGCTCGCGTCGCATGGGCTCAGATCGCAATCCAGATAAGCATGACGACCACGTCCATACCCTTGGATTCGCCTCCGTCGTATTTGTACGACCACATGCCATCCTTTTTCTCGTCCCAATAAGCACCGGTTGCAGAATGCATGCCTCGTCGTCCGACGTGAGGCTTGCCATCCGTCGCCGTTGCGGTGCCGGACGACGGATCTTCACTAGTAGAGATCTGGGGTTCTTCTATGGCGGCATCGGTGCCCTTCGACTTGTTCAACGCAGACGTCGGGACCAGGTGCTGCACGATGGTGCTGTTGCATGCGAACTTGTATCCGGGCGATGAACCGTTGGCCGGGGTGGCTTCGGAGATTACGGCCTTGAGAATCGTCGACTGTACGTAAAGTAAAGAGCGCGTTAGTGCATCTGCTTTTTCCACCCCCCCCCCCCCCCACCCAACGTGAAAATGGGATCATCGTTCGAACACGTCAACAAGATGGAAAAGGGGACCGCAAAGAGGAGGGCTTTACAATAATCGTGTTATTCCACTCAAGGGTTTTGGCGTGGTCGTAATATTCAGCATTCCCGATTGCACTGTTGCAAGCCTGGTATGACACCAAACAGTCAGCTCCGATGGGGACGGGATAGGAGGAGGAACGTGAAAGGTGAAAGAGAAAGATTCCCTGAACATACATCGGTGGCAATCTGCTTAAGTCTCGTGAAGGAGACGGGCTAATCTTCTTATCAGCGTCAACTGTCAGAATGGACTGGACGACAGGCAATCCTTACGGGAGTTGGGCCGGTCTTCTCGGTGTTGTCGGCCATTTTGGATGTTGACGATGCAGACGATAGCAACTCCGAAAACAGATTGATTGTGTGCTGGTCCTGTGTGATGCGTCGTTGACCGATGGGATCAGCGCCAGGAAGAGAAGGTGGAAAATAACGATCTCGTCGGGGAATGAACCACCTGTTTCAAGACTACGTGGAGTGATGATATCGGAAGGTTGGGTATTAATATCTGGTTTTCGCTCGTCTTTATCCGTAATAACTTCCAGGTTCTGTTTGGAAACTTCGCGTCTGTTATCTCCAGTACGCGGGGCAACCGCACTCCCTGCAAGTAAGTACATTATGTCAGCACAAAGTCACATGATTTACGTAGTAGTCATTATCGCTTTTTGTAACTCGCCGTTCTGCCACTGCCGGGGAAACTACGGAGCAATCTGGACAGGACTCTAGCCAACCAGACTCGGCGCTTGTGGCACGTGAGCCCCAGCTCGATCGGAATCGGAATCGCTCACCTTGCTATGTTATTATTACAGGTATTACCGATAGTGTGATGCAAGCGGGGCAAGAATTCTGGGATTCGAAGCTCTACACGAGGCGAGGCTGCTCTTTCGGTATTTCTCTGTTCTAAAATTTTCTATGCCAACGGTCAAATTCCTATAGCTTTCATCTGAAGCCGTATACGCGCTCCCGGTTTTCCCTCAGATTAATTGTTAATGTGAACTTTCAACATAGCACGCTACCTCAATTGACTGGCTGGCGGGTCTGTTGTTATTCTTCTTCTTGTTGTTTTTGGTGGTGACTTGACAGCATCCCGAGAGGCCCTGTATCGGAACCAGCGAAGAGCGAACGAACCACGCAGTCGAAAGCCGTAGCCTTCCGCCCTCCTATCTCGACGCCTAAATCACCTCCTCGCCGTCCATACGTTCGTCGTCACTTGTCCAAGGGCCACAATGTCGAGTCAACCTCTCCTCCAAACCGCCCCAGGTATGACCTATGACCTATGACCTATGACCTCCGTCTACCTCCCTTGTTCACCAATCTTTGTCAACATCAACCACGGCCCCCGCACGCGAAGGTATACTAACAAGAATCCCGTCCAGGCAAGCGAATTGCCCTCCCGACACGCGTGGAGCCCAAGGTCTTCTTCGCCAACGAGCGGACCTTCCTCTCCTGGCTCAATTTCACCGTCCTCCTCGGCGCCCTCGCCATCGGCATGCTCAACTTCGGCGACCGCCCCGCCTTCATCAGCGCCTTCCTCTTCACTGGCGTCGCCATGCTGACCATGATATATGCCCTCGTGACATACCACTGGCGTGCCAAATCCATCCGGATCCGCGGCCAGGCCGGCTTCGACGACCGCTTCGGTCCGACCTTCTTGGCCATCATCCTTCTGTTGGCCGTTGTCGTCAACTTTGTGCTCAGAATAACTTATTCGGCCAAGGGAGCCGACGGGAACTGAAACCGAGATACGAAACCACCTTTTATATAAAAGCTATCTGGGCTCCCTGTCCTCCTCTCGGGGACGTATATTCTGTGGCCTTTCGCTGTATATGGTTGGATCTGGTCTGAATGCCGCGCGAGATGGGGAAGGGCTTTTGGGGAAGATGCTTTCAATGGGGTCTATACTAGGGAACACGTCGTTTCAAAGATCTCTTGATCCTATCCTTATGGCGGATTAGGGCGTATTTGGGCATTATTTGGCTGTAGGTTATACGGTGTCAAACTGGAACACATCAATAGAGCAACTGATTCACTTGTATGGTTTCGGGGCTACGAATGCAGCTTTTTCACCACTGGATCTTCTCTGTTTCTACATTGTGACCCTGCCATCATGGTAACTGGGAAATACTAGGCGAGTGTATGGCTGCAGTCAGAGCAGCCTGTCAGTAACCACGTGAATCTCCTACATCAACAGCACCCGAACTAGTGAACCCTGAGATGGGACGCTCCGGTGCAGCTTGGCTTGACTTTTGAGCGGGGAAAGACGTCCGCCAGCTACGAAGCTCGATGTTGATCACCCGTGAAAGAGTAATGGAGGCTGATTCTCCTATTCAGAAGACTGTCTTCAAAGCTTATGACTTTTCCCAATAATGGAGGAACAATCCGCTAATGGCAACTCGTAACTCGTCCCTGAGCATGCAAGTCCAGCGTGTTAGCGAGCTCGAGGTGTGGTCGTCAGGTAGAGAGATTAATAGTTGAGGAGCTGGGTTGCTAGTCCGAGAGACGTATTCTTCTCACCTCCATTTGCTGGCGTTCAATCCCCAGATTGCCAGTACAGTATCGCGTCCTGTCCTGCATATCCGAGATGGGCGATCAACTTCGAAGCCATGACAACGCATGCCCCTCCATCCGGTCTATCTAACCTCTTACTAGCGGCCTGAAGAACTGTCAGTCCCACGGGGCTCACTAGCCCGACGAGATATATATTTCGAACCTTCGGGGCCCGAAGCCAGCTGGCCTCCACGCGAGATCGTACACTGACGCCACCATCACCAGATATATGTACGGTATTAATGCCTGTCCCTCTCATGTGCCTTTTTCATCCCTTGTGCCAAAACAAATGCCCTCCAACGCCGTGACAACCATCAATCCCATGCGGAATCTTTGCGTTCGTGGTCAAGGTTATACCTCGGCCTGCCTGCCTGGGTCGCCTGGTACCTCGCTCACTTGCACAGAGACGCCGTCTCTGCTTTTCAATTCCGGTATCGGCACTCGGGAAAGGAATATGCTCAATGACATATGCTGACGCGAGCGCTCCGGGACGACGGCCTTCTGGAACCGACTATCCAACGCTTCAAAGTAATCGTCGGCGTCGTCATCCTCCTCGTTGCCGTCCTCGTGTTCTTCTGTGCGATCGTCGTCCCCGGCCCGCTGTCCACCCAATACTGTCTCGTCTACGACGTCGGGCGCCTTCCGCTTGGGCGGCACTGCATACAGCATGTTGTATTGGAACCATCTCCCCGGCTCGGGGCCCGGCGCAGCGAGCAGTGCCCGCTTCACTTGCTCCGCAATGGTGATCATCTTGCAGACTTCCCGGGGCCGGGCGTGGAGCAGTACGACGGCGGGTCGAGGGTCGCCTGTGTCTCTGCGCAGATGATCCAGGGAGCGGACGACGCGCTTGTGGATTTTGGTCGAGGAGATGGTGAGGGCTGGGAGAACGTCATATTTCGGTTTTAGGACGGCGAGAACGGACTGGTGTGTTTCGCTCAGGGCGTTTGTGACTGCGGTCCGGGTCGGAATGGGAATCGGAGCTGGCGGTGGCGGGAGGGGCGCCTCGGACAAGCCGCTCGCGGCAGGTTTGAGCTTCTTGGTTGGCATCGCGGAGATGGTGGCAGATGAGGGTGCTTTGCGCTTTTTGGTGGTTTGTTTACCCTTTTCGGGGCTTGCTGATTTACCCATTCGAGAAAATTGAGGCCATGGGATATGCGTGGTATTATAGAGTTGAAAATTGCGACACGTTTCGGTGAAGCGAAGATTCGAATCGTCACAAGGATTGGAGGTTGGGATAACGGTTGGAGCTTGGACCAACAAACACTTGTGCATTGTACACTATACGGTCAAGAACCAGGCATGTCATTGGCTCCCTCAGTTCTCTGTTGGCCCCGCAGTCGGCGCCGGGCTTCTTTGAACACCGGAACCGATCCGGATGGTCCGGGTGCAGGAGATTGGGATTTCCGGGCAAGGAGGCGTTTTTTTATGACAGTTGTCCTGCAAATACTCAGTACGTGTAGATACCCTCCTTTAGAGAGGAACCTGCCCCTTGGTATACCGTCTATCGTTGCTGGAAGCGGCGTCTGGGCTGCAGCCACGCTATTGAAGTCCATCCCATTACGCAAGGCGTGCGGAAACGCTTTTGTTTCTTTTTCTTGTTGTTGTTACTTTTCTGTGCAAGATAAGAGTGTGGACTGAAAACATCATGTTGCCCGAATCGTCAGACATAAGGCGGACTGTACGCGGGCGGTGCGGACTCGCGGCAATCATATCCCGTCTATTTGTTCCTCGTCGGGATTCACATGCATAACGCGTTTGAGGCTACGATGTGCTCCGGGCAAACCATCTTCCCGCCCTCGGGCCCATTGTTGCACGAGAGTGATCTTCCTTGGTTGCAGACGAAGGGTGAAACCATCCAATATAACAGCGGGCTCTCTGAAATACCAATGTTCGGTTCACACTTTGTACAACCTAACTGAAGACCCTTTTGGGTTTACGTAGGTGACCCCTCCTACATTGGGGACGGGGAGAAACAAAAGACAAACGAAAAGAAAGAGAGAGTCATAGACGAGGAGAAAATGACCCAACATTCGTGGTTGGCTTTCCTTAATACAGAAGATCCCCGGGACTGGGGGCCAACATATGAGTGTCGCATAGGTATACCTTAGTTAGTGACCAAAAGGGCCGAAGCGCTCTGCATCATGAGTACCTTATGTACAGTGCTTCTGTATTTTTGTCGGGTCACTATACCTATCTATTACCGTCGTTAAATATCTAGTAACTTGACCAGATCCAAGTTGAAAATGTAGGTTGTCAGAGCTCGAATATCTTACTATAGTACATAAGGGTATCGGTATTCACTTTTATCAGTGGAATGCGCTTTGCGGGCATGGACAATCCAGTTAGTATCCCAACGTCTAGGGTTACTGAGTAGGTACGTTGTGCTTCCAAGATGCCCGGACATTCCCCTTATCATTCGGCCCCATTGCTTTTCTAAAGAAGGATCACCGAGTGTTGCGTCTCACTCGTGTCTTTCCCATTTACACCCTTGTCAGGTCTATTGAAACGGACGACCAACCAGATCGATTTCTACCCACACTAAATGCTGGGGTATCCACTCCGCCCCCTTACAAGCAGCTGCCTCTGGGAAAGATTCAAGGTGTTCTTTGAGATCCAGCTCGCCTCTGGCAGGTGCAGCAGGTGCACACAGACCACCTCATTCGTAGAGTAGATGAGGGTACCCACCCACGCCAACTTGGCAAGGCAGCCCAGTTGGATCAAGCTGCAGCTGCCTACAATGTAAGAAGATGAAGTACTTTGAGAGTATCCGTACTCAAAGTCATTACCTAAAATACAGGTGGGTACTTCACACTACCATAGGTACCGTCCGTATATCCGGATACATCTCGGACCATAGGACCATGGGTGCGCCTTCCTTGACCTTCCTTGACTTACCGCGATAATCTGTCTGTACGAAAGGTACTCAGTAGCCTGTACCCTGCCGTAGTGACTTTCTGTCTGGGGGTTGGAAGGGTGTCAGTAATCAGACAATAATAAGGTACACTGATCCCGTCAGCACACCATCCGCCATAATGAACAGCTACCGGCCCCCATTCATTGGGCTTGCTCCTCGAATGTTTTCATCCTCCCCCCTTTTGCCATCCTTCTTGGAACCAATTCTCTCACACGCACTTCCGCCATCTTCCCTCCCCCCTTCCCGAAACGATACAAACGGACGCTTGGAACACGACTCGGATCCAGCTTTCCTCCCCCCCTTCCCTTTTCACTTTCCCTCCCTTTTTCTCTTTACTTTTTTCTTTTCAACTTTTGCCTCCTCGACATTGACTCTATCGCCTCCTAATCATCATTATTGCGCATTCCTTTTCTCACGCCGTTTTCACCATTGCATCGAGGCTTTCATTAGTCTTCGTGCTCATCCTACCCTGCCGCTTGTGTTTATCCAAGTACCGCCTACGCGACTCGGTTCAAGCCTACGGTCGGGCGCCTTCTTTGGCCTTGCCACCCGCTACGCTACCCATCACCAACCGTTGCTGCCTGTTCTCATCCCGCTCTTTTTTTGCTCATCGTCGTCGCCCCCCAACCATCTCTCCCTAAACCACCAGCCAGACGTTTCGGCAAAACAACACCAACCAAACGCGACGCGAACTCCGTCCTTTAATTCTTCTTGTTAATTTTATTACTATTTTATTTTCTCACCTTTTCTTCTCTTTCTTCCCATCACTCACCCAAGTTACGGCAACTGCGACCGTCGCATCCTTGGTTTCACCTGCCTCGCCTTTGGGCACAACCCGAGTCATTCGCACCAATCCGCCGGCTTTCGCCCGCCCACTATATTCTTCCCACTGGGGTTGCAGTACTTGGCCTCAGCTTTTGGCGACGTACACCTTGCATCTCCGCGATCTCATCGCACCCACTTTGGTTACGTCAGCTCCGGCTGCGGATCGGCCCATCTCCATCACCTCTGGTCTCATATCCTCGTTTCTTGGCTGGTGGTCGTGAACATTGTTTTGACACCTTCGCGTCTCCATCTGCCGTAGTGGTTCGAGCCCGTGTCTCTTAGTCGGATCGCGACACTCCCACTACTTCCTGCGTCACTTGCTAGTCTTGCCGCCGCGACTCTTTGCATAGGATCGCGAGGCTCTCACAGGCCGTTCAACACCTCCCCACCTCCCCCCCTCATTGTCGCATCCCCCTTTGCCTTCGGAGCATAGCATGCTTACCTCCTTTCGCTTCTGGGGCGCTGAACGGGGAAGCGACAAGTTTGGCGTGGACGCCCAACCCATGTCGGTCACCGACTCGATCCAGCTGTCGGATGGCAGCCGTCCTGCTTTCACTCCTCCGTCATCTAGTCCGGTGAGGTCACAAAAAAGGTGTCGACGGAAAGTCCACGAGTCGCATCCCGATGCGAAGTTGGATGAATCGCCCGCCGCGAAACGCGCTCGAGTCGATGCGCTCAGCGCCAGGAAGATGTCCGTACCTTACTCCTGTCCTGATGCCTCCTCGACGGGGCTGCCTCACGGAACCATAGATACGGAAAAGGCGCGTGACACGATTCGATATCAGTTCGGGCTCGAAATTCTGCTCAAGCACAATGAGTTGAGACTTATCAACCAGGAACTAGCCAAGTGCCAGGTTGCCCTTGAGCAGCTGCGCCGCTGCCATCTCATCCCGTATCCTACCGCCTGCCCTACTCCCGATCAGATGCTCGAGATTGCGAGTGGGAAAGGCCCGGCGCTACGGAATCCCCCTGATGAGTTGGTGCCCCAATGGGCGCCTCCCTTCGGCGTTGTTGACGGGCCCTACGCTCGTCATTATGCCAAGTGGCTTATTCCCGACCCCAAATTTGATGGAATGCAATGCCAGTGGCCCCCATTGTCGGAAACAGTGACTGGTCGTACCAGGACTTCGACCGAGGGGCGCATGACGAGGAACAGCACTGTCGACACCGGCGGCAGCAGCAACAGGACACGGCCCCCGAGGGGTATGTCTAGTCAGAAGCTGCAGTCTCTATCCAGTGGCTATGCGCAACCGAAAGAGAAGGCCGGTCCTTGTGTCCTGAAACGTACGGACGGTCAGACGGTGAAGCTCGTCTGCCTAGATTGCCATCGGGAGAACTTCTCTAGCACCCAAGGCTTCATCAACCATTGTCGCATAGCACACCGCCGTGATTTCAAGAGCCATGAAGAGGCTGCTGTGCATTGTGGCCATGTCATCCAGGTCGACGGGAGCGGTGGCGTGGTTGCCGAGGAGAGAGAAACGACGAGCGCTGCTTCAAACACACAGCCGTCAGGCCTCGTGCATCCGTTCGCCCAGCCGCAACTCACGGATCAGCAGGCTTATCTGGCTTTGCTGTCGAGGATCGATGCCTCGCTTGAACTGTACCATCAGGGCAAGTTGCCGGGAGTCGCAGACATCCCCACAGCTGCCAGCGAGGAGGCCAACCAGACTGAAAGCAAATTCGTCTCGGCATCCCAAACTCCCCATCTCTCTCGACTGATGGGGAAGAGAAAATTCCAGGGCAATCTCGCTGATCTTGTCAGTGAAACCAAGCAGAAGATATCTCTGGATGATATGTCACCCCCCGGGGATGAGTGCGAAGAGACAGACAACGCGGCAGCAAGCGTCGACAGTTCTGCCGTGACGACGCCTGCCACCACCCGAGCGCCTGTCACGATTCGGGTACCTGCGCGCACAGCGTTGTCATCGGCCACTCAGAGTGGTTCTACAAGACCGGCAAGCAGCAAGGGTAGGTCGCAACGCACCGGCTTTGCGTCTCCGCCCATCAGTCTTGCCGACAACGAAGGCGACTCCGGGACCATAGTCCTCTCGGACGATGATATAGATGTAGACATGGACGCCAATTTGAGCCCGAATACCTTGGTCAGCAACAACGCCCCTTCGCTCGTTAGCGACGACGGAGAGTACGACGAGTCGGATGACGCATCGTCGGTGACAAGTGACAGTGACGGCCTGGAGGCTGAGTCTGTGTCAGACGTTGCCGAGATCAACATTGAGGAAGACCACGAGCCTCCTCGCTCCCTACGTCACCACCGGACCACGGGCGGCGTCGGTTCTGGAACGGCGATGCGGCTGAAGAAGGAGGAGACCAAGCACGTCACCTTGGTCAACCCGGTAAAGACCAACGGGAAAAAACGGGGTCGGAGAAGAAAGCTCTAGAAGCGGTCGTCGATACAGTGCGCACTGGCCTTTTGGAGGAGCCGACTCGCTCAGCGACACATCCCATCATCCGATGAGGTCACGAACCTCGACTTCGTCACCACGCCTTGGATTCTCTGTTCTCCTTCGGCGACGGGGTGTTTTTTTACAGCATACTATTTTATTGCCATTACTTTATTGTCCACACCCTACTCTTTTTTTATTTATTATTCTGATCAGTTGAGCTGGTCCGAAGAAACGTGCTCCGTCGAGAGGAGTGCACCGGTCATTCTGGTCCATTTATTTGGGAGATCACATGGCGTTTGGGGAATAGGGGCTTGGGGAGCGACGGGGTCCTTTTCTTGCCTTTTTTTTTCTTCTTTCTTCTTCCACCTTGCTCATTGTCTTGACTGTAGACGATTGACTATGGACGCTGTTTGGCATTTGTGGCACTTGATGTGAAAGAACAAGACAAGAGTAGGGCCTGCACAACAGCCCTGAAAGGACTCAGATTGAGAAGTTGGGGCTTCCGTTCAAAGGTGGAACAAACGATTTGAAAGATGGAAACGGCGCTTGTATAGTTACATCATCTTTTACGCGTGGAAAGTAGAGCACCAAAATCCCAAGACCACGATCCAAACAACCTGAAAGCATAGGAGCTGGAATAATCCACGTTTTGCAGAGCATGTGGCTTTAGTCGGTGGATGAACTAATAAGACGTCCTCGTAGTTCTCCGAAACCTTTGCATCTATTACGGCAATGGTACGAGTCGTGGCAGATGGGAGTCGAACTCGAGATACTTCGTTGGTATATTATTTACGTGATTAGGAAGACGAACACGCTAAAGCGGTGAGGACTTGATTACTCAGCCAATTCACATCCCGCGGTCACCATCTCCAAATCGAAAGTCCGGCAGGCTTCTTGGAGTACCTTAGGTACCTTATATATGCCCGTTAACAGCACATAATACATGCTGCATATGTGTGCTGTTTGTCTCCTTGTCTCCTTCACCTCCATCCACAGCCTTCCCACCTTCGATCGAGGACAGATGAACAAGAAAATGTAGAGTAGACTTCGACAAAGGTGTTGGCATCCTTTCGACCCAGCTCCCATTCCAGAATCGTCTCACTCTCCCGTTGCGAGGTCACAATCCGGGTCGACTAATTCAACCCAGGTCCTCCCATGGAGATTTTTACAGGGTAACAGCAACAACGCCAGCAACGGCGAGGAGCAGGCCCCCGGTATTGCGAGCGAGCCGGGCGACACCAGAATCGGGGTCCTCATCGGCGGCAGCGCTCGCAGAAGCACTGGCACTGGCCCGGCTCGCGGAGGCCTCGCTGTCGTCTCCCTCCTCCGCGTTGTTGTTGTTGTTGTTGTTGTTGTTGGACGCGGCAGTCGGGGTCGGGGTAGCAGCAGTAGCAGCATCAGCCGACTCGCTGGCCTCGGTGGGGGCGGCCGTGGCCGTGGCGGCGTGGCGGGCGGCGGTGCCGTGGATGGAGGCGTTCTGGCAGTGGATGGTCACCTGGCCCCTGGCGGCATTGGCGCGGGGGTCGCTGGGGCAGTTGTTGTAGCATGTCGCGATGGCTTCGGCGCCGTGGCACTTGCAGTCCCAGTCGTCGTGCGCGCAGGCATTGAA